TTTTATTAATAACTGAACTGCCTTACATAATACCAACGAGTATAATTTTTACTAAAAGTTGTTATTTATTTATTTAACATTGAAATCTGATAAATTTATAAAAAGTTCAAACATTTTATTCCCATCAAAATTTTGATTACAACTGATGCAAAGCAAATTTGTTTATGAATCAAAACATAATTTATGAACCCAGTTAATATTCGGGCTTGTGACTCTTATATTATTAACAATATTCAAAATGTCTATAATAGATTTATTAAACCTAATTACAAAAAAAAAATCTCATTTATAAATCTATTAGTACCTACTAAATCCAGTATTCTATATTATAACTATAAAAAAATGGGTAGTAACTTTTTTAATATTTTACACTAACAAAAACGTAAACACATTATAACATAACGTACAATGTCAATTCTCTTATCACTTTACTTTTACCGAAGACTAATGACCGACAGTTTAACCAGATAAGTAGCTGGTACTTAGGTTTAGTAGTCAAAAGGTTACCGGATCAGTATTCAGTATACAGCATTTCGCATTGTCTGTTATTTTTATGTTTACTTTTATTTTTACGATCTTTTTGGATGGTTCACTAAAAATATTATTATTTTTGTTATATTCTTCTGAAAAAAAAACGTAAAAACGTATGGCTGGTTGAAAGATTATTTCACGTGGCAAACAGAAAATAAGTTTAGAAGGGATTGGAATTTGGTATAACAATTTACTGTCAGTGAGCATCATCACCTTTGTTCAGTATCACTGTGGATTGTAACATTATTATTATTGTCATCGGAATAGATAAATGTTATGCTATAAAATAAAAAAATTTTTTGGAACTTGGTTTTCTCTTTACTCCTCAATAAGACATTGCCCACAAGTACTCTTCAGAAAAGTTTTAATATAATATTACACTTTCACAAGACGTTGCTTAACGAAAAAGATCGTGCCCGTATTTATCACACACGTTCGTCGTTTATTCATCCGTATTGATCGAATCGCAACATCCATTTATTGTATTTTACGAGTTTTCCGCCTGAATTTTTTATTAGTGTTCGATCGATTCCCAACTCTATATTATGTATGTATTATGGTTGTTTAATAATAATTTATTATCAGATCACATAAAAAGAAAAAATAATCGCCTATATATTTTGCTTCCATAAATTCTGAACCTTAATCTTGAGGGATTTCCTTATCTTCTCCGTTCTACGGAAAGTCTCGAGCTTGGTGCCGCCATCCAGTTTATAATTCATATGAACGAACTGAGCGTTAATGTACTGCAACTCAAAATTGACAAATTAAAATAAATTAAATAACGGTCCTTCGAGACACGGAAAACAGTAGACTTTTGCACCGAGTGTGCAAATGCGTTACATATTTTATGTTGTGATATTGCCATTGAAAGTAACAAAGATAGATGATCGCATTTGTAAAACAATTCTGAGCAAGTTTGGAGTAATTTATATGAATTATTTGAAATTATAAATATAAATTAATAATAATGGCACATCTTCATGAATGGTTTATTTTCTGTAACATTCACTATTATTGTATAAATATCTTATAAAATCTAAATTTGTACAGATATTCGATCAAAAGGTTGAAAGTTTTCAGAGATTTTACAACCCAAACAAATTTCAACAGAAAACAGAATATAGTTTAGGAATTGGTATAACGATTCAATCTGAAGTACCTATGTTTGAATAAAATTACAGTTTAAAATTAATAACAATATAAGAAAAACATCAGTATAGCTCTTATAAAGATATTAATTACACATGCCCACGAATTATATTCATAATAATATTATTACTTATTAATTCATACGACTATCAAAGATTGTGGCCGTTTCAATTCGCTTCTATCATAAAGATAACTACCTTTTTTGGTAAATTATATAATTCTTAATTTCCCACTAATTTCAGTGCTACAGTATTATTTAGTATTCACTTTTTAGTAGGTACTAACTGCGATAGATTATTCTATTTATCGCTTATTTATTTTTGAATAATCTAGTTGTTTGTTTCAACATTTACTCTAGAACGATATAATATGTAAATTAATTAAATATAATAACACATACAATAATATTGTACTATAAGTATTAAGTAGTACAAATCATAGGTTTTAGTTCATTGTTCATTAATATTCTTCAAGTCATTCATTTTGTAAATTATAATTAATGTTAGAGAATACGAAAACGGAACCGAAACAAAAAAAAAACACATTAAGTTTACAATCTCTAAATCATTATAATATAAATACTTACATGAAGTTATAATAATAATAATAGCGTAAAGCATTAAGGCGTGATTATACTTATTTCGTTTATTTAAAAATATTATTATTGCTGCAACCATGATTTTTCGTGTTCGATTACAAACATACTGATTTTATCATATGAAAACAAAAATTCATTACCCGAAAGAATATTGACTATAGATTTTATGTATCAATACAGTTTTTAGAAATAAAAATATGAACATAATATTATAAAATATGTTTTAAAAAATGTATCATAATTTATTACCAAGGTGTGTCATAATTTGCTATATTATGAATGGCGTATCATATCTCCTATGGGTCCTCTAAATTTTAGAGGTCAAGTTCACGTATACATATCGGGCTTGAGTAAATCTGTGGGGGCTGAATCCTTTGCATTACATTACATTGATGTATGTATTTTAAATATTGAACAAATAGTTTTTTATTCCGTTAACCATTAATAAGCATTATTTTGAAGTTTTGAGGAGTAAAGTAGTGCAGAATCAAACATTTAACAGGATAAACATTATTATACCCACTTCATGCCACCTTTTATCAAAAACTTTAAGGACTAATAAATATTATAATTATAAAAAAAAAAAAAGGTGCTCTGCTGTACAGTAGGTTACAAGTGGGTCACTGTATAATGGATAGTATTAAATTTGAATTCAATAATATAATATCATTGTATAAGAAAAACGATTCTGAGCGGAGACGGTATGTCAGTCTAGGTATAAGACATATAATATACTTATCTATCGTATTAAAAAAATTACCTAAAATAGGTGTCTACAATAAATTCCAAATTAATCATGTCACAATATCCATTAGGTACTTATAATGCTTTATAAGTCAACAACAAACCCTGATACTATCATAGTCCATACTCCATAGATATATAATAGTGTACTTTAAAAGTTTCAAGTACCCACGAATAATATTACAAAATCACAACAAAATAACTAAAATAGTTATTCTAGGTTTTTTATTATGTAATTTTGTCCAAAGTTGAACTTAAAATGACTCTACAAATAAACTGTGATTATGTATTTTTTAGATTTTTTGGTAACAGAATTAACTACTTACGTGGAATCTTGTTTTAAATTTTCAATCCTTAGAGATAAAAGTTGAACATTTTATACATTTTTAACTACAAAATAATTACTCAATTTTAAATTTGATAAATTTTGTCAAAATTCGATTTTTAAATGCTTATAAAAAAAAAAATTGTGCCTATGTATTTTTAATATTTTTCAACTGTTATTGTAATAATATATCAGGAGCCTTGTATTAAATTTTTACACTTTTTGGCCTAACAGTTATACATTTATTGATATTTATAGAAAAAAAAACTAAAATAATTGAAAACTGAAAATGTCCGTAAACAGCTCAAAAAGAGTCAAAATATTTTCAAACTTGTATGGAGTATAGGAAATTTTTTGTAGGCTTAGTAGAAGCCTTGTATTAAATTTTCAAGCTTTTTTAACCAACAAATAAAATTTTATTGATATTTTTAGAAAAAAAACTAAAAAAAAATGAAAAATAAAAATGTGCCTAAACAGTTCAAAATAAATCAAAACATTTTGAAAATGTTATCGTGTATAGGAAATGCTAATATAAACATTCAGTAAAAATTGCATTTACCTACGGTCATTTGTTTAAGAGTTGCACTAAAAACCAAAATCGATTTTTTCGAAAACAGATTTTAGCTTAAAAATTCCCGTTTTCCTTAATTTTTATTTTGTTTTTCACGCCGCATTTGAAAATTACTGTGAAATTTTCACTTTTGACCCCCCCAAGGTACCAACTAGATTCACTTTTTTATCAGAAAAGCTACTGTTGAAGAAAATCCAAGCACTTTTACTGTCCTAAAACGTGATGACAGACACAAAAAAAAACACACATCATTGTAAAATCAATACATTCATCGTTTCACTCAGAATCTAAAAACTATTTAAATTATTTGAAATGTATATCCTGGCATTTTCTAAAATCATAAATTCTGCTTCAGAATATAAAAGTAAAAGTGTTCCTCGAAATCGAAAATGAATAGTGATTTTACAATTGTGATGCTTAAAAGGGTGAAATAAATACGATTACATAAAATACTAGCATTGCGTATTTGAGTAATATATATCGTGTCTGAAATGTGTATACATAACATAAAAAAAATTCGAAATAATAATCGTTTTAATAGTAATAGCGTGTCGACGGACAAAACATCACAACAACTCCCCATTTATTATAAATTCTAATACTTTGATATATAATTAATATTATACGTATATTTGCGTTACATCGTAGCTTCCGGATAACGACCACGTAATTCTATAATTATTGTTATTACGATAGTATCGCAGTATCGCCGACTGCGATACATATTATACATTTCAGTGTTGTATTATACAGGGCGATTGTTTATTCGTCGACTTTCTTGAGAAATTCGACATTTTTAAATTATTAATTTTTTTATAAGGTTATATACATGACACGTCATTCGGTAGGTAATTTTTGTTTTACATTTTGATTTAATTACCAGTGTTTGTCCTAGAAAAATAAAATATAATTACATCACAACTCTTAGAATTCTCTAACGAGATGTCGGTCCACAGTAAACCAATCACCCCACCCGTACACACCACTATTCGCAATAACAATAATAATTACAACTTTTAATTATAACTCGACAACTAAAATAATAATATTATAATATACGCCATGCGTTGTTTTTGCAGATGGCGTGTTTCGAGATCTTGAAGAACTTCTCGTTTATGGTCACCACACAGGCCATGCAAGTGAAAACGAACATGCTGCTGTCCGTGTTGAAAATCGCCGAGGTCGACATACTACTTCCGGTTTCCAATTCGAGGAGTGCGAACTTGTCGCCGGACACTTGCACTGCGACGTTGTTACTGGTAATTATCGCGGCGGCGGTATTGTACTAGAGCCGAAGACTTACGGCGCCGCTCGGACGTTAAGATGATAATATTGTTATCATCGTCGTCGTCGTTATATATATATAGAGAGAGCGTCTCGTCGAGTTAACTTTTCTCTTGTAAATTTATTGTTGTTTTTTATTTTTAACTTTGTGTGTGTGTGTGAGAGATACTCCGACCGGATACGTATAATTATCATGCCGATCGTACAGTTTATTATGTGCCGCCAACCAGACCCACGGTGATGATGCTGATAGTATATCATGAGTTCGAGACGCGATGAGTCCAATACGATTCTATGCGTACATGACGTGTGAAATTGATAATAATGTGTATGTCGTCGAATAGAGATCGTCATCACTGTTCTATCTTCTTTTTCTCTGCGCTAATTATAATAGTGACTCGATATACTCGTAGACATTATACTCGTAGTCCCTGGACGCAGTCGCCACTTAACTGACTTAACTCCGACAATGTCCATCCCCGTACCTATCAATTACCGATGTACGTAAAACGGTCATTATTATTTCATACCTATTTTCGAATCGCTCAAATATTTAAATTACCACGTTATGCCCTATTATACATTAGGTGTATTGTTGTTTATAATAATATGATCGTTTAATATTATGCTGAGTACGATACAACACGTGAGTGTTTAAGAGAGTGTTTCACGCGTAGCCTAACCTAACTTTAAATATGGTATTTATTAGTGTTTCCAAACGTTACTTCGTAAACACTAGTAAATGGTGGTACTATGATATTATACAGGTATGATGTTCTAACTGACTTGTACAATATTCAAATGCATACAACAACAGTCGAATGACATATCAGACACGGTGTATAAAAACAATCTTAACGATTTGCAACTATTGCATTCGCAGTGTCCAGAGGACTGGTGAAAAAACACCAAATTTATCCACTTCAAAATAACACGTAAATTATAAAATTATAATTATTATAGTGCGAACATGGCCGTAGAAAATCAAATTTGCCCTGAGGCGTATAGCCTATACAAGGCCAATTATATACCGGTAACTTGGAAATTTTAAAATATTAATTTAGAAAATATAGAGGCGCTGACATTGTACGAAATCAACGGGTGGTTAGGGTCACAGCTGACAATTTCATAAGACGGCGTAAGTAATGAAAATCTGGACATTTTCCTAAAATATATGTTCCGAAAAAGCAACCATACTAATAGGTACCTATGATTGTATAAAAAATTAATTATTTGTGTCAGTCTATATTTGTTTATTTTTCTGAGAAAGTCAGGCTTATCCTTGACCTTTCTTTCCCCCTGAATGATTATAAGGTTAATAATAAACCTATAATTTTATAAAACTCAACACTTATATTTTATTTTTGTTTGGTTACAAACATTTAAAACAAGTAAATAATTGGTTTTAACGAAACATTACATAATAACATAAAATTAACTGGAAATCAATCTGGATAATAATATGAAATGACATGGGAACCCATTCAGACATTTTGGAATTACAATTGAAAGTGCGTGAAAATGCATATTATAGGATAATACTCAAGACTAAGAACTGTAGCTCATAAAATAATATTCAAAAATTACACTAGCACTAGGAAGGCATCTAACTAGATTTAATGTCAAAAAAAAAATTTCCATTTTACACACGATCAAATTATTCTAGTAGCTTAAATAAAGGTGACCTTCTAGCTTTAAATTATTGATATTCCATGGGAATCTTTAATGCAAGACTCTCGATTTTCTTTTCATTAATAAATATATACTTAGGTCTTACTTAGTGTCAAAGATTATTTGAATTCATTTTTGATGAGCATTTAATAAATTCACTGAAAGTTTATTTCCATACTATCTTACAAATACCAACAGAAATACTTAAACAAAATATTCATTTATTTTATATCATAATATTTTATTTCAATTTTGTTGAGTGACTTTTCATCGTTTTTTCTTTCAAAATGACTCGATATTCAAATACTGTTGTATGTTTAATTTTTTATTATTGGTAGGCTATAAAGAGAATCGTCTGCACCATTTAAAATATCTTCAGAAAAACGCAATTGCATAAATACATATCTTAAAGCATGATCAAGTCTGGTTTAAGCAAAGGGGTGGATTTAAGTTGCTTATCCTGTGTTCAGCCTAAAATTACATCCACACTTGGTAGTACAAACCATCATTGACAATAATCCCTCACTCACACAATCGTCCTTTGTCTTCTGTGGTTATTTTCACTATCATAATCTGGCTTTACTATAGCACTTTGGTTTCCTCGTCCAACCAAGAACCATTGTTGTGTAATTATTATCTGTAATATTACTACCTTAAAGTGAAATTAAGCACTTAAAAAAAAAACTGTTAGATGTATCACATTTAATATTATATAATATATTATTATATTGCACATTGTTGAAACTGCCATGCCGCCACGAAGAACTTTTTTTCCGATCAGTTTTTTGATGATAATTTTTCAAGAGTTCAGAACATTTAGGTGCCTACATCATCTGAACCTTTTTTTTTTCACAAAAGTGTATAACGTTATATCATCTGGACCTAGGGAATTTAGTTGAATCAAATACGCGTATTTGCGAGCAGATATTATCATAATACACTAACGGTTTCCCATTCATATCGACCGGATATTTTGTTTATATAATTATATATATTAGAGTTGGTTAACTGTCAAAAATATGTTTCGCCCCATTTCCCAAAAATACGGTTTATCGGACATAATACACGTGGTTTACGCCCCGTTGAAGGTATAATAATAATAATAATAATAATATAGTATAAGGTAGAGTGGGCTATAAAGTATATAGCAGGCTGGTCTTGTTGGTGGAGGGGTTGTGGAGCTACCTCGAGTACACACACGAGCTTGTGAATAAGTAAAACTACTGAGGAGATGGCGGCAGAGTTCCACAGCGTTATATTGCCTACTAAATAATTAGGTATGAAAAGCCCACTGTATGTATAACGATATGTGCATAACAAAATGATTTGGCGTCAGCCTCACTCACCGTTGAAGTTGTATCAACAATGTCGACTTCCAAGCCCAGATCAAGTCCACTAGAGATACATGGACAGTTATTTGGTTCTGAATCCCCACCGATGAAAAAAAGGTCATGTTTTTATCAAATATTTACGTTTTGGAAACACATATAACTTTGTGATTACCGTAGTTATGGTCATTGGATTGGAAGTAAAATACTAAAATTGTAAACCTAATGAAAATATAAATATATAAACTGTTTATAAGCTGTACAATGATATAGTACGCCTTTAAACGAAATTTGAATCCAAAATAATAACAAACTGAAATTAACATATAATGCTGACACTATTATTTGCACGGCACTAATTTAGTTTCCAAGCATGCTAAGGTAATAAATTGTGAGCAGTGTGTTACTGAAATAAATAATAAATCTCCTCGTAAATAACAATATAATGTGGAGAGGAATAAATGTTGAAACGAGATTAATTTTTACATATACTACGCATTACACAAGTGGATCAATATTGTATTCAGAAAACTATTTCTATATATTTTGCTTAGATCAATTCACAATGTTTCCTATTTTATTTTTTTATAATGACTACCCCCCTACCTAATCTAATATTTTTTTTATTTTAAAATATTATAATAGTATTATAAAATTCACTTTCGTAAAATCACCAGCATATTGTATAGGTACTTTAGGCCGGTTTCACTAAAACATAGTTTAAATAGATAGATACACAGACTCAAATATACACACAAGAACAATATAATAATTTAAAACAATAATAAAAAGTAACACATTTTTCTCAATAAGAGACAATAACACACGAAACATCCACAAGCAATACAACATAAATATAACATAGTTACCTGAAATGTAAATCTGTAATCTTGCAAAGTCCGGTGCATAGCTAAAACCCTTCATATCTCTCATACTCTTCATCCACCATCCGACATACCCTCCAGAGTGCGTCGGCCAAACCCAGACGTGCATATCCGGAGCTCTACTTCGGTCAAGGACCCACGATAAGGACGACGACAACACGTGCTACGAATACTGACTCTCACAAATGAGTGTGATGAGTGCCAGCGAACAGTGTTTAATAATATACTGTGGGAAATAGATTTTCGTGGGGTGGTGGGAAAAGTAAGACGATGCAGATGGGATGTAGACACTTTGAAAATCAACTTTTGAGCAACTTCGATATTTTTTATTTCTGGGATTAAACGTAGTAAAAACGGCATACACCGGTTTTCGGCTGTATGACGACGATTTCGCAATGTAGTATGTATATATGGATTATGGACTGACAAAAACAAAACATGACACAGCTCGCATAGGTAATAGTAAATAAGTAATGTAATACAACAAAAATTAAAAAAAAATTGATATAGGTAATTAATGACGAAACTAATAATTGTAATATTCAATCGGAAAAATTAATAATAATAAATTATACGGATGTGGCGCAGTGGCGTGATTAAGAGGGATATAAAGTACGACGTACATCTAACTATTATTGAATTTATTTTGTATTATTAAAAAAATAATTAAATTAATGATATTCAAGGTAGAACTATAGTAGGTATTGTTCACGATCATCGGAAATTTTAAAAGTTCTGTATACTCGAAAATTCCACTGAGTATGTATTTTTTAATTAACCTGAAAAGTGAATAAGCTGCTAGCTGCTCTTTCATTTTTTATAAGACCCGTATTAATTGAGGTAATTTTTACTGAAGAGGGAAACTAAATTTTATAATATTATAGTGATAAGAAAAAAAATTTAAAAAAAAATCCTGCACTCCCATTTTCTCATTGCCAATGATGAGTCAAAAGTTAAAAGTTTCACCACTACAGCATAATGAATCTATTTTATATATGATTTTACTGTTATAGTTAGGAGTACACACGCATAGTTTTCCTTTTATATTTTTTTGTGTACTATTGGTTATTATATTCATCAGAGAACATTTCGTTTACCAGTGGATCGGTAGTTTCGTAATAT